TCTTGAAGCACTCACTCCAGCTGCAGTCCACTCTTTGTGAATCTCCCCCACATTTTTGAATGGGTTTTGTTTCACAATCCTCTCCAGGGTGCGGTTATCTCTCTTGCTTGTACACTTTTTTCGACCACATCTTTTCCTTCCCTTCGCCTCTCTATTAATGTGCTTGGACACTGAGCTCTGTGAACAGCCAGCCTCTTTAGCGATGACCTTTTGTGTCTTGCCCTCCTTGTGCAAGGTGTCGATGGTCGTCTTTTGGACAACTGTCAAGTCAGCAGTCTTCCCCATGATTGTGTAGCCTATAGAACTAGACTGAAAGACAATTTAAAGGCTTTTGCAGGTGGTTTGAGTTAATTAGCTGATTACAGTGTGGCACCAGGGGCCATCAATTTTGAACCTTTTCACAATATTCTAATTTTCTGATATGATGAATTTGAGATTTTCATTTGTTGTCATTTGTAATCATCAAAATTAAACAAAATAAACATCTGAAATATATGAGTTTGTATGTAATGTATGAATATAATATACAAGTTTCACTTTTTAAATGGAATTACTGAAATCAATCTACTTTTTCATGATATTCTAATTTTATGACCAGCACCTGTATATATATATATATATATATATATATATATATATATATATATATATATATATATATATATATATATATATATATATATATATATATATATAAATATATATATATATACCGTATACATTTTGCATTTAAGATAAAAAAACAAACCTTATCATCTGTCAATATGCTCCATCAAGAATTCCTCAAGTGTAAAAGTTTTAGTTTAATTTCTTAAAAATGTTTTGAGGAACCTTCTTTCTATTCATAAAATGAAAAAATAACTGACAGATTAATCAATTTTCAAATCAATTACTCGTTAGTTCCACCTCTACTCTAAACAGTCGTCTCATGCCCTCCGTGTTATCCCCAGAGAAATGGTAATACGAAGGTGTTATTTTATGAAAACAGATGTGCTGCTATATAATAATCTTATTTTACCAGAAAATCAAATACGAAAACAAAAAAATCAAAACAGGAGTTGGAAAGGTCACTAAAGTAGAAACAGATTTAATAGATATAGACTCACAAGAATAGAGCATATAGTTAATCCTTTAGGAAATAAATTAGGAGTAATTCAAGAGTAGCTTCTTTTTGTTAAAGCTGTGTCGCCTGTTGCACTTTTTTCCTAGATTAATTTGGAGAAAGCGTTTTTTTTACCCAAGATCTAAACCAATTTAAGAGAAAGTAAAGAGGAACGGATGTGATGAGCAACAATTGAACCCGCTCCAGGCTGCAGACATCAGACAACAGCGATATGGGGGCAGCTGTTATGTAAGATTCTGTGAAATATTGTGTTCAGGCCACAGAGAGCTTAGGAAGCTTCATTTGTGTCGATGATGTGTCTCCAGGACATTCAGGAGTGTTGTTTGTGCAAGCTTTTAGGTCAGATCAAAGACAGCTTTATGCTGTTTAAACTGATGTTCCACATGGTTGGAAAAGACAATCCCCATACTCAAATATTTTTAAGATGAGGATCTACTTGTTTCGTCTCCTTCTGAGGTCCAAATGCTGTTATGCTCCAAGATTTGAGAACCAGCTTTTGAAATATTAACAAAGTATTAACATATTATCTTCATTTAATAGCAACCTTTAATCTGGATAAAACTTTTTATTGTTATTTTAGGCCACTTAAGTTTGCAACAATTACCTCAGTTAGCAACTGTATTTAAGTCAGTATAAAGAGAAAGAGTGAACGCAGGCGTTTCAACAGTTGACAATCAATAGGATCGTTATTCATACTATTTAGTAGAACAGATGATGATTAGGCTTTTGTAAATTTCTGATCTGAAGTCACATTTTTTAGGTTGTTGAAGATATGAAGATATTATATGCAAGTATAAACACCATGGAAATGTCCGCCAATCGTGCTGCTTAGGAAAAAAATTATTAATTATAATAGTTTAAAATGAAAGTATCAACGCCAAAACAAAAGCAAAAAGATCTTGTTGTGATGCCCACTTGATATGGTCAGATAGTTTTACTACTGCCAGTAAAAAAAAGTCTTATATGGGCTGGAAGGAGCTCATCATGGACTTCAGGGAAGATTCAACAGGCACTCACGACACCATCCACATCAAAGGAATAGCTGTTGAACGTGTCTCCAGTTTCTAGTTTGTGGGGACTCAAATCTCAGCTTACATGTCCTGGTCAACCAACACCTCCTGCCTGGTCAAGAAGGCTCACCAGCACCTCTTCTTCCTGAGAACACTGAGGAAGAATCAGCTCCCCTCAACTATCCTGGTGAACTTCTATCGCTGTGCAATAGAAAGCATCCTGACCAACTGTGCAACAGTGTGGTAAGGAAGCTGTTCTGTTGCAGAGAGCAGGGCGCTGCAGCGGGTGGTGAAAGCTGCCCAGCACATCACTGGAACCTCACTACCCACCATTGAGCACATCCAGAAGAAACGCTGCCTACATCGAGCCAGCACCATTCTTAAGGACTCATCTCACCCAGCCCACAGACTGTTTTATCTCCTACCCTCCGGCAGGCGTCTCAGGTGCCTCCGGACCAGAACCAGCAGACTAAAGAACAGCTTTTTCCCCAGAGCCATCTCTTTACTGAACTCTAACCCTCACTGATAGACTCTCCTCTCCTTCCTCACACCTACCACCGTTTTGCTGTTCTGTTTTTGTAGAAGACTGTAATGTTCACCTGCACTCCTGCCTGTTACTATGTAACAACTCTTTACATGCATTTTGCACTACTCACTTTGACTGAACATTGATTTGCACTGCTGACTGCTTATAATTGCACTGCCGACTGTTTATTCACAGTACCAATTGTTTACATATACAATTGCAATAACGTACTTTAACTGTAATATGCAATAACCTTCCACTGCACTTTAATTTAGATAGCTTCTGTCCAAACTTTATTATAAACCCATCTGTATATTATGCTATTGTACATAACTGTAAAAACCCTTTTTTTAGTAATATCCACCTGTATATTATATTCGGTATATATCCAGCTGTAAATTTAGTTCATAACACTAGTGATCTATATACTATATTCATTATTCACAATGGTATTCATCTCTATACTCATTAAGTAGAAACCCATGTCTTATATTTATGGAACCATTATTTATCCTGCACTTGCTGCTATTGCACTTCTGGTTAGACCTAAACTGCATTTCGTTGCCTTGTACCTGTACCTGTGTAATGACAATAAAGTTGAATCTAATCTAATCTAATCTAATCTAAAGGAGGAAGAATCTGTTACTCAAAATACAACATAGTCTGATTACAGTGTGCAAAAACATTCAGGAACATAAACCCGCATGTTTGCCCATAATGACATTCTCTACATTTAAAGGCAAAGAGAGAAGCTACGTCCAAACGCAGGGATGGCAGCATTGTGTTATAAAGGAGTTTTGTTGTATGAAGGACTGGTGCTCTTCTAAAAATAGATGACATTTTGAGGAAAGATTATGTTGAAATACTGAGGCAATATCTCAGAAAATTAAAGGTTATACATAAATGGGTCGTCCAGATGGCCATTACAGCTGGTTAACTGTTAAATCAGTCAGAGAATGGCTTGAAGACAGCAACATTGATATTTAGGAGTGGTTATCAAAAACCCCTTATCTCAGTACCATGAAAGACCCGTGACTCAGTTATCCCACCTCTGTGTGAGGGGATAGGCCGTGATATTTTTGGGACTTATTAGGAAAAGCTTGAGGACGAAAACTCAAAATGTTTGACCCTAACCGTTCAGTTTAAAGGCGGGTAAAGGAAACTGATATGAAATTTTAAATCCCAAGTATGTTTTTAAAAACCATCAACACAATTATCTCTATTTATTCTGCAGCAAATCATTTTGTGTAAAAACTTTCTTTTATTTTAGCACAGAGGTCTTAACAATAGTACTGCTGTATAAGGAGAGCCGTGCATGTACAGAGGTTAAGTCACAAAATGAACACCATTGGTATGTATCATTTAACCACCACTAGGGGGTGCCATAACCTTAAAAAAGTGAAGTTTGCCAACCCTGGCAGTGAAAGTCAAATAGTTTTCAATCTGGTTTATTTATTTAGAAAACCTAGGTTTGAGGTGTGACAAAAACACAACAATATATTATTCATACTATAACATTATTGATAATTTAAGAATTAAGGTCAAATAGAAGGGGCCATCCGGTCTATTTATCTATTAAGGTATTATGAATACAATCAAAGATATTACATATTAAAAATCAGAAAAAAAAAAAAAACAACAACAAAAAAACAGGCAGCCTGATAACTTGTTTATTCGTTTTTTGATTAAATCCCATTACCTATCATACCTGTATTATTAAAAGAATAGCAATCATCGGTAATTTTTCACTTATTTTTGCATATATTTGAATATAAATGTTTTTATTATTATTAATTATAATTTGAAATGATATTAAAGAATGGGTAAAAAAAAAAAACTATTTTCTTTTTTAAGTTTGAAGTGTTATTTAATTACATATCAAACTATCCTGTTATGATCCTCAACATTTATTTGAGGCGGATTTTTTTAGGTCACAAAATTAGTTCGGGTAAATTATAAAATTGAGAGAAAAGGTCACTGTTGCTTTTATAAAAAGTGTAGTGCGTAATGTATTATTTAAGTTAGGATAATTTAATTTTTTACCTACTGCAATATTATAAATACGATATTAATATATAGTATAAAAAAATGTATAATACATTTTTTATACAATTTTTTTATATATATATTTTGATGTGTTGTTTAATTTATTCTGAATAAACTTTTTTGTGTCTCTATGTGTAAAAAAATAAATAAATAATTGAGAGACAACCATCTTTGTTTTATTTCTCTAACAGTTTCTTATAATCATGGAGGAGGATGGAGCCATGAGGTGGGGGTGGTGGTAAAGGGAGAAGCGGGTTGGGGTGAAACGCAGACCTCAGACCAGCCAGTCTCTTTTCAGCCTCCCTTACTTTCACTGTGTAACCAGAGAAAGCTGATCTCAGATCGGCGGACCGTGTCTTCCGTCCACACTACCAGCTTTTTGGGACTCAGACCAGAGGAAATCGTGTTCCGTCGGCAGCAGCAGGTCGGCTCATCCACAGCAGACCACGGCGAGGGGACGGACAAGCAGGCAGCGGAGACTGATAGGACCCGCGGAGGAGTTTAAAGAAGCACATCCAGCGGAGGAAGAGAGCACAGAGAACTGAGTGGCGCCTTACGCGGACTACTTTCACTCTCAGCTAATTTCCAACATTTTTCCATTCTTTGCGGCTCTCGGAGCCTGATTTATAAGGAGAGCTAGCGGAATGTACTAGCCAGCTAGCTAATGGTAGCTAGCTAATTAGCTTGTCAGGGAACCCGAGAGTCGGACGTGTGATCTTTATTAAAAAAACAATAAATAGGTCACTGTTTGGCGTCATTTCACTTTTTTTCCTTTTTGGAAAATTCTACCTTTTTTAGCTACTGTTTATAGATTCTAAAATGGCCATTTTGGTTTTTATTTAACAGCCAACGCCAAGTTAGACAATAAACAGAGCGAGCTTTTCCATATTGATTAAATCTGCTCTATATTATCCGGGTGTTTTTGTGAAAACCAAGCCGCGAAGGAGAAAACAAAGGATTAGAGGAGAAGAAACAGAAAAGAGAAGCAGACTTTAGATCTTTAGACCCCCCCTCCACCCCCTCCGTCCAATGTTAATGTCGACCGACGTTGCATCTTTAATGCTGCCCGTTAATCGGGGAATCATGGACCGCGATATTGAGACGGCGGCCGCCGGAGCGCATCCGAACGCGGCCGCAGGAGCCGCGGTTGTCCGGGGGATGAAGCGCGGTGACCCGGAGCCGGACGCTCAGACCGCCGCTGCCCTGACTGACCTGGCCGGGGCGGAATGCAAGAGACCCCGGATAGACGGCTCCGGTGACATCGGACAGGTATGTGAGCCATGGAAACACAAAGGCATGTTTCTCTTTATTCTTTGCATCAGTTTCCCCATTAAACATCTGAAGCATCAATGCACATGGGATTTTTTTAAAAAGGCCGATTTCTTATTAACGTGAAGAAATCTGCAGCTAGATGGGTTGTTTCTTTAATTTAACAAAGAAGAATTGCAAAATCTAAATGCTCTTTTGTTGTGAGCTGAGTGAGGGAGCAAACCCAGACAAAGGTAATATGATCCAGGCTCCATTGCTGTGACAGACAGCAGCACAGCAAAGATCAGGGCCATTCATCATGCCTGTCTCACTGCTCCATCACATGCTGCAAGCTGCTGTAAATATTGTTTTTTATTCACATAGACAAGAAATACCTATAATGGTGATCCTGTTAGGAATGTGCCATTAATCACTCCCCCCCCACTTTTCCTTTAGTCTGGCTAGGTGTTAAGAGAGGGGAAGACAGACAGGATTGGGGGAGGGGTCACCCCACTGAAAGACAAAGAGCAGAAGGTTTTTGCTGGAGGCTTGAACCAAAAAGGGGGGGCTCCTTAACACAGGTCTATGACTCCACAGCTGAGACAGCAGAGCATTGGTGCTTCTCTGGAATCACCTCTCACTCATCCTCCCTGGATCTGTTGCTGTTTATTCCAAAATGCACTGCAGCATTTATATGTGTAATATTTTACACCTAGATCTTGAAGCGTCTGCGAAAATAGATGAAACTGTAGGTCCATCTTCTGGTAAACGAACCTGAAGGAGTTGAAGTTTCTTTCAAATGTGGGCGGAGGTCGGCTGCTGGGTTTAAAGACCGCAGAAGTTTTTAAGAGTTAAGGGCGGACTATACTTCTGCGACCGCACACATCAAATGTCGCTTGCGTCTGGACGCGAACCAGTTTTGCTGGTATGCTTCTGCAACGTCGGGCTGGAATATCTTGGGACGCACTGCAGTTTCCCTCCAAAGCGCAAGGGGGAGCCTATTTTAGAACTCGCGAGAACTTCGGCGCCGGCGGAAGTGTTTATCTTCCAGAACAACGATGGCGCATCTGGAAGATATCACGGTCACGGAGATAGATCTAGAGTTGCTAGACATTGAAGAGGAACAGGTTCTGCTTATAGAGTTGGCAAAAAGACCGATTAACCTTTCGTCGTAGTTGTCCATTGTAGTTTGCTGCTAAAATTCTCAATCATCCAGTTAGCTATTAATGGACCCAAAGACCCGCTTGTCAGGTTCAATTAGGCATGTTTCTAATTAATACAAGGCCTTGGTTTTTTTTTTTGGTCCACTATATAAAGCCTCAACTCATTGCGAATCCAGACATTTTGAATTGAGAACGCTTCCTCGATGGGAAGCGAAACGTCTTCAAACCTTGGAAAAAAAGTCCAGTGGATTGTTTTAAAAAAAAAAAAAACTTTTTCAGAATCCATTGTAGTTGTTCCTTGGTTTTTAAAAATGGCGCGCCCCGGCACCGGATCGAGAAGGACGACCACACAGACAGCCGGAAAGGTATACCAAGGACCAATCACAGCGACGACGGTAGCAGAACCTCTGCACGGGGGCGTGGTCGCAGAGGCCATGCGTCAGAAGCATAAATTGTCCTTTAGGGTTTGGAATTGAGAAGGGGAAATATTTTCAGTCATTCCAGCGGTTAGAAGTCCTTTGAATAAAGTTGCCGCAGTCAGTATCAGCCTCAGCTCCTCAAACGCTTATTGCTGCACACTGCTGGGCAGCTGCTTGTAAAAAAGGCTCATCCTTTTTTTTTTTTGCCAGACGAATCTGACTGGAACTGATTCTGCTTCCACAATTGTGATTTTTATGACCATTTTGCATAACTGTGTTGAACTAATGGATTTAAAGGTTAGCTGTACAGATCCTCTGCAGGTATTTAACTATTTTTTAAAAACAGAGGGCATAATGAATAATAAAGATGCATCAACATGCAAACAAAAGAGATAAAAGCAGGAAAATAAGCCCTAACCTGACTTAGGAATGTCTCACCTTATATGAACTTTTTAAAGTTCAAAGCTGCAAACACTTGTTTTAAATCTACTTTCTAAAGTCCCCTATATCAGACGCCACCATGATTTTTTTATTTATTTTCTTCTTGGCTGAGTAGAGCATAGGGTAACAGTGCTGACCCTCAGCGCCTTTTGTTGCTCATTGCTGTTTAGATTGCTTTTCCCTCTTTTTTCCTAACGTTTGTTTTTGGATTTCCTTCCTAATGAAATACTGGTGTAGAAACTAAAGGATCATCTCGTTATTTTTATGTTGACCCTTTTATAAAACTGGAACCAGATGACAGATAACATTCCATACCTGTCTGATTAACTTTGTCCTTAAAGAGAATTCAGGGGGGAAACGTATATTTGCACACTAAGCATTTTAATTGAAGATTAACAACATTTTGCACGTAGTCTAGATTTTTACGAATCAGAGAACAGATTAGAAGCTTAAATTTGTGCCTTGATTGACTTGAATGGCTGAGAAGCTGTTCAAATATCAAATTTTTTCAGGTTGTGTTTAATATGTTTTAAATCATATATTGGTTCAAAACAAAGAGCTACTACAATATTTAGTCTATAAACACTTCAAACAATAGTATGCATGTTATTGGAGATTGAAAAAGGTTGGGATAAAGAGCTTTAAGACATAAACTAATAAGTTTTATTGTTGAACCTGCTGACATTTATTAAGTATTTGAAATGGAGAAAATGTGGAAGTTATAATGCAGTCAGATAGGAATGTGAATCTGTGTGTCTCTGGGAAGATGGTTTCTCCGTTCTATGCGGGATACAGAGACTACGGAGGAAAATATGGCTTAATGAAACAGGTGAACCGCTGAATAGATGACAGGTGATGGACAAAAGGAGCTGTAGATGGATAATGTTTCAGAGAGGATTCATAGTCTGAGGAATGGCAGGTTGGTAGAAATGCTCCAAATAAGGAGAGGAAAAGACGCTGGCAGGGCCGTGTTTGGGAACTGGAAGATGTTGGAGGGGCCGTATAAAGAACGGCAAAAGAAAACCCAGGGCCATTACCTCCCATCCATGAGGAATCATGATAAGAGGATGAGAGGAAAGTGATGGATGACAGAAACGGCATCGGCTGAGGGAGAGATAAGCAGTGGGGAGCAGAATGAAAATGAGAGGCACTTTATGGAGGATAAATAAAAAGGAGAAACAAATGACTTTGAAGGGGGTTAGGCTGCCGATTGGGGCGTAAGCTCTCCGTCACGATGGAGGAGATGAGTTCTGGGTGGGTGACGTGCTCCAGGAGCCAAATGCCCCCTAACAATTACTGCAGGATTCCCACTGAGGGATGCAGGAGAGCGCTGACCTTCCAGCCTGCCTGTAAATCAACGCTGTAATAATAAATGAGAATGCAGCCTCCTCCTATTGTTGCTCCTGCTCTCCTCCCCCCTCCCCCTGCATGTCCTCTGATTTGTCCCCCCCCCCCCCCCCGCAGGCATATTTCCAGCTTGCTAATTGACTCCTGATTCGGAGGCTCTCTGTACCGATGAGGTGGTTTTCCAACCCCCCCACCTCCATCCACACTTTCTCTCCGTTATCCCACCGCTCCCTCTGCCATTTTTGATTATCTCTCCATTTCTCAGTCCATCTCCCATCACCCCACCCCAATCCATAATGGCTGTATTGATGTTTCCCCTTGAGGCATCGCTGTGGTCCACGCGGATGAAGCAGGAGTCCGTTTTCTAACTCTCCCTCTTTGCCTGCGTCGCTCTCTCTGATTCGTAGAGCCGATTTGTCCTATCGTTGGCAGTAAAGAGGCTTTGTGTCGCACTAACGAGATCAAAGCTTATTTAGGCGAGAGCATTAACTGGACTGATTGCCGTGACGGGCCAAAGCAGTGCGTATGTCGGAGGGGTGATTTAAAAGATCACAGACAAATATTTGGTAGTAAATATCAACAGTTTCAGTATCTCATCTTTAGATTCCCTTTTTTCTGGAATCCAAAATGAACTGAATTACTAAGATTGAGACAAAGTTTTACTTTGAGCACATTTTAAAGGAAATAAAACGACTCCCTGAATGCTTTTGGATTCTATATACTTATTAGATGCAGGTTTTTCTACCTTTTAATATTATGATCACACAACATGCCAACGTAAACAAAGATTTAATTAGAGAGATAAGGTTTAGGAATCTGTCTGATTTTTATTTTTCCTACCAAATCTGACAAATCTAATTTTTTTCCCACCCACTTAGGTTTCATAATAAAAGTATAAAAAAGCCACATAGCGCTTTCAAAAACTAGCTTTTTTTTTTTTCAATCATTCCCGCTGGGAGGTGACCTTCATTTAAAGGGCAAGGAAATCCAAGCTGTGAGAAATACTGTAAAACAATAATGTTTCACAACAAACATAAAAATATAACATGAAGTGTTTGCAGCGAGTGGAATCACAGGGATCTAGTTTATTCGTTTTGATGAGAAGTCTGAGAATCTAAGACAGATGAATTTGACCCTGAGGTATGGAAGCCTAAGGAGTGGATTAGTCAAACAGATCTACATTTACCTGAAGTTTAATCTTCATAAATACAAAATTCAGTTAATGAAGTCATTTTCATGTGGTAATTATACCAACGGTAGAAATTTGGTATGAAGATAAAGCGATGGCGGGGAGTTTTAGAACCGTGGCTGCGGGCTAACTGTGGGGCGGGTCACATGTATCTGAAACTATCTCCAATAATTAACCTCCCTGTCATAAAATGTTTTTAAATAGCAACACAATTAACTCTACTTAATAAAATCATGTATTAATTTTTATAAAATGCCTGAATCTACACTGCAAACATCTGATTTTAGCAAAAAGACGGTAGTCAGAGGCAAACTGTCTGTTAGTCAGGTATATTGCTGAAACAATAGGATTAATTGTGATTATTAGAATAATTGTCAACTAATTTAGTAATTGGTTAATAGTTAACTGGAGTATAGAGACTCCCAAACAACGTCTTTAGCTGACAGAGCAACCCACTTAGAG